TCTCGATGCCGACCTGACGTTCATATTCACTCAGCACTGTTCGAAGTTATTAGATGTGGACATAACTTTTACTTATTTCCAGCAAGTTCGATCAGGCAATTCCTACACCCCTATGCGTCACATCTCCCCTTGTTACACTTCGACGAAATTCTACCTTAAAAAAAACACCAGCCCGTTGCATTCGTTAGTATATCGCCCTATTGAAAAGTCAACTAGACCGAAAGCAATATTCACTCCTCTGCAGCGAAGGATGGGTTATCATAATCCATCTGGTAGCTTGAAATGCGAATACCTAGTCCACACTTCTAGCACAATCCTTCGTCAGGAATATGTTTTCGGTCGTACCATTCGTAACCGAGACTATGAATGTCTACGTCGGCACACTAAATTTTTGGGGACCACAAGGTTGATCATTTTTGACGATAGTCTAACGTCAGCCATCCTCATTCCATGTTTGACATGTGGTCCCATTACCTTCTTACAACTGGAGACACCCTCAATGCAGAAAATTCGGAAAAACTGGGACGACCAAAACAAGAACCTCCACAACTACTTGTCTTTCATCCAGGATCCTGTGTCCTTAGAGTGTGGACTAGATTTCTGGGGACACGAAGATGACTACAACCTTTGCCCAGCAGTCACGGTGGCTGAAAAGTATAACCTAACTCTATTAGAGTTTGCAGGATACGACCACGTTTTCTTAGGCAGTAGGAGTTTTGGCATTCTCTATGCTACCAGATATTTGGATGAGGGCCATCGTGGCGAATCAATTTACCAAGTTGTCCGTCAACCAATCAACTTCGTCACTATTGCCAATCATCCCTTGCATTCTGCCAGGGTTGAGGCTTTCCTGTCCCTCTTTGACACAGAAAGCTGGGTGTGCCTCCTGATCAGCATTATTACAATCTCCGGGTTCCTCACGTTTTTGTTGTTGCGGGAAGCAGCAAAAGACTTTTCCTGGCTGCTCTGGGTACACGTAATTGTAGATAAGGTGATTATTATTTCTTGCATACTTCTCGGCCAGGTGGGCAGCAGTTCTACTAAAGCGTATCAAACAAGAAAAGTTGCCTTAGTATTATTAACAGTGTGGATTTTTGGAAATTTCTTCCTCATGGTGAATTTCTATCAAGGCTCGATATATTCATGTTTGGCGGTCCTCCTCCCACCCAAGTCTCCGCTCGGGGTGGAGGACCTTGTCAACTGGAATATCCCCATAGTGGATATGCATACTGTTCTATGGGATGGCGATCTTCCACCTCAGTCGTATTTATTGGATGACCTTATACCTACCCTTATCTCGGGAAGTGGTGATAATCCAAAATTTTCTCAGTTTTTAAACGAATTTCGCAGAAAGCTTTTGCCAATTAGCAACAATTCAGTGTCAGATATGGTTGATAGCATTAACTTTCCAAATTCTACAGGGACTAATCCAATGATTGTATTACTCAATGCGGAAGCGGATTTGGAAGATTTTGTGAAGATAATTAAATTAGCTGAAACACGTATCATTGTTGTTAATAGGGGATATTCGCCATTCGAGTTTATCGGTACAAAGTCCGGTAGTAGAAATTTGTTTACACGGTACTTTTTAAAAGATTGGATCCATCTACGGGAATCCGGGTTAATAAATATGTGGGACAAGGTGGATAATGCGGCTTTCTTATCGGAATACAATGAGGAACTTTTAGAAAACGGTATGTACTTTAAGGCTGTGCAGCCAACGTTTGGGAATATACGGGAACCCGTGACATTTCATGAATCACGGACCGTATCAATGGAGCTTATTCTACTTGCCTTCTCCCTGTCTGGCGTTGTAATGGGGTTTGGGGTTCTAGGATTCTTGGTGGAAAATAAGAAGACATTTATACGTTGGGGAAAAATTGCAATATACGCCTTGGTTAATAGTGTAAGACACATTTTCAGAATGTCCGAAGTTCGTATTGTGTCTCAAATATCTAAAATTTTTAAAACAAGGACGACCGTTATAAATGTAGCAGGAATAAGTCCAGATTAAAGAGATGTTACTTTAACTAGAATTTTAAGCTGAGTGAGCTTAATATTTTAGGAAATACAAATTCAATCCCGGTCGTGCTATATGTAAATTAATACTACACAAAACCGAAAAGAACATTGGACAAAAAATTGACGTCCGGGAACCTCCTCTAAATACTTACACCTGAAAGCGGTTATATTAGATCAGGATATGGTACTATATAAAGACCCCGAGATTCTCATTAATGCCAATGCCCGGCGGGTATAATTTAGACTTCAAATTTCACGAAATTATATAGAGAATTTAATTGGTGTTCTGATACTGAAAACCGAATTTAATTATCTCTTTTCGTTTAAAAATGAGAGCAAAAGATACGGAGCAAGTCGCGAAGCTAGTTTGCCACTCGCACGAAAATGCGTTTTTTCGAGATCGCAAAACAACGCTTGACCACTTTATACATGGGGGGATGCTACGGAAATCAATTCGTCGTATGTTGGACAGGTATAACTTGCATGAAAACATAGATTTCAAAAAATCAAGTGGCCAGCCGGTTGTCGTAGGGACGAAGATAGCGGTGAATATAGTGGAGAAAGCATTTACAAACAACCCCAACATTTCGGGTAGCGCTGTCGTAACAAAAATTAAATTGAGCACATCATATGTATGTCAAATTAAAGCCAAGAAGTTGGGCTTCAAAACGAACAAAGCCAAAATCTCCCCAAAATACAATGAGGATCAGAAACGTAGAGCCAAAACCGACTGCCGGATGATTTACGAAAAACTTTGCAAGGAAACTTTCACCAAGTTTATTGTCATGGTTGACGATTCGTACTGTACCATGGATGCTGAAAGTGTAAATAGGGTTAAGTTTTACTCATGTAGAGACTAAAAAAATATACCTGCCAAATATAAATACAAACGGAAGCAAAAATTTCCTAACAAATACCTAATCTGGCTGGCGATCGATGAAAATGGTGATGTGTCGAAACCACTCATTATTTCGAAAAATTTGAGCTCTCAAGTTTTCCTAAAGAAGTGTATCATGAAGAGGTTGATGTCCTTTATCGAAAATAAAATGATTTTGCACTGGCCTGATATGGCAACAAGCCATTATGCGAGAATTGTGACTGACCAACTCCGAGAGAAAAAAGTGGATTTTTTCGAAAAGAAAGACAACGCTCCAAATGTCCCTCAAGCTCGTCCCATTGAACGGTTTTGGGCATTACTCAAGAGGGAATACTCCAAAAGGACAAAACCACCCAAAGGATTGAAAGGATTTCGAATGGTCATCTCAAATCTGATAAAGAAAGTGGCGCAAAACAGTGGCGCAGCTCTCATGGCGAGCGTGCGGCAAAAGCTACGGTCAGTGGGTAGAGACGGAGTTTTTGGTCCCGTAATGGATTAAAATAATTAGGTAAGAGTGTGATGAACATAATATATAAAAAGTATTAAATTTAATTCAGTAATACATATTTTACAGGCTAAAACCATGCGGGGTCTTTATATGGTACCATATTCTTATGTAGAGTAATACAAAATATTATCTGATTAAAATTTAAAAAATTACACCTTAACTCCGAGACTAAGATCTGTCCAAAAACCTAAAGACATTCTTCGAAAATGGAATAATTTTGAATTGGCGATAAAAATGTTACATTAAAAATTTGAAATTTAAAAGTGGGGTGTCTTTAGGTTTTTGGACTGTACAATAAAATGTTTTTGCTCACCAGTCATTCGGTCCTGCATATATTCTTTTAATATTTTGTGCACAAGCTGAGCGCAAGTCTATTACTAGTTGGTACTAGTTTCACCCAATTATATTTAGCCAACTTCTAGAAATACGCATTTTAGTAACATATCTTAAGGTTTTTGGACAGACCTTATACATATTAATCATTACCTAAAAAAATCCTTAAAAAAAATCAATGTTAACAATCTTATGAAAAAACTACTTAAATTACTGAATCCGTTATCAACTGAAAATTTCGAATCCTTCTAAATTACAACTTACTTGTTAGATATCAAATTTTATTAGGCATAAAACGAATGTTTTGTAAAATAGTCAGTTTAGATCCAAATGATCCAAGCTGACACGCTTCCTAAGCAACGAAAATTATTATGGTTATTACACGGTCTGTTCTTATTATTATTATCTTAATCTCATATAACGGAATACTATTTATAAAATAAGAACGGAAATAACGGAATGCTCTCTCAAGATTAACTCTTTATTTAAAAATTTTTTCTTATTTTATTTATTTATATATATAGTTATATTTTTATTTATTTTATAGTGTCATGGTATTCAAACCAGTTTTTGTAAACTGATATCCATTAACACTTGAATAAAGGATGACTTGACTTGACCTTTATCCTAGCTGCGTATTGGTGACACCGAAAAGCTGCTAAAATGGAACGACAAAAGTAGCCAAAACGGTGACATTATTGTGCAGAACGTACCATTTTTTGCCATATCGGTGCAGATGATATGCACCGAAATCATATGGAATTTACTGTTAATAATTTTGCAATGAAATAATACCTATATTTTGTCGCCGAAGTGGAACAGAAAGGGTACTTTCGTCCCGGCGATGGCACCGTTTCGGCTACTTTTGCCGTTCGATGTAAGCAGCTTTTCGGTGCCACCAATATGCAGCAAGGATAAAGGTTATGATTGATATGTATAGTCTCGGAGTTTATATGTTCTCCTTGTAGCCTTGAATTCTAGTAAATAATTTTATCTACCACCTATTGGAGACATCTGTGTCGTGTGTGACAATGTATTCCCGTCGGCCTGATTTATTTAAGAGAAATTTCTTATGCAAATTCATCGTATCCGATGTATGGATGAACAACAAAATGAATTGATGCATCCTTGCTCTGGTTTGATTTAAATTATGGTTAAAGAAATAACGATTTTACATGAATATTTTAATTCCCGGTTAATTCTAAAATTTAAATTTTTTTATACTTCTACAATAATATGTAAGTATAAACGCATCTCTCATTTCATTTCTCATTTATCAAATGCAATTTGCACATTAAATTGAACATTGAAGATCCACTTAAATTTATGAAACGCCAATACGGAGAGGTCCAAGCCCTATTTAGATTAATAACTTTTTCTAAAGTGTGAACACGACTACAGTGTTTCACCAAACTAGAGAAAGTACAGAGCGTCACTTTGCAAAAATAACATTGGTTATCCTTAGTGTGGTTTCCCTTCACGTGTTTAGATAAATTCCCCTTTGACCAAGTTCTATACGGACATTTGTCACAAGAATGAAGTTTTTCTTTGTGTGTTGAGTGCATTGCTTTCTTGTGATGGTTCAAACTTCGTAATGACGATAGACTCGCGTCGCACAGCTTACACGGATATTTTTTATTTTCGTGAAAAGTCCGATCGTGATACCGAAGACCCGATTTCTCCGTGAAAGTGCGATAACAAAGTTGGCACTTTAAGAATTTTCGAGCATGTATATCCAGGTGTGTTTGCTGGAGAGAAAGTTAAAAATTTTAATAAGAGATTCCAATCATTAATTAACTTCGTTTTATATAGGCTAAAAAAATTACCTCGTGTCTTGACAAGTGTGGCGATTGTCCGAATCGTTTCCCACAAATTTTACACTTGTACACTTTCTCCTTCGTGTGCGAAGAAATGTGCAAATTTAGACCTGGTCTGGTTTTGAATTCCTTCCAACAGAGAAAGCACGGAAATCGAACGGGATTTTCAGCATGTTCCATTTTAAAGTGATCCGAGACATGACCCTTGTTCAGAAATGATTTAGTACAGTCGGGAAACTTGCATGGATATCGTGGTCGTTCCTTCGCGCTGTGAATTCTGTCCATGTGGTTTCTTAAGCTTGTGGAGCAACTTAATTCTTTCCGACATATTTGACCGAGAAATTTAATTCCAGTGTGCAAGCTTCCTATATGGACTTTGAGACGGAGACTATTTTTGAATATTTTTCCGCAAGTCTGAAATAAATTAAGAATGTTATACATAGTCGGCTGGTTTTGTAAACTTGTAAATTCACCTACCTCACATTTCAATTTAGCATCTGGATCATGAATGAAGATATGGTGTCTCAAACGTTGTTTGGTAGGAAAAGCTTTTGAACAGATGGGACATTTCCGCATCTTATCTTCCTTAGGTTCCATCGGACTAATATTATTCTTGGTAGTATGCAACAGTGTGTGAAGATTTAACGGAAGTCACGTAACAATGTGAAGAAAACTTTTCAATTTATTTCACTTGCTAAAGAATGTATATTTGTTTGAATACTTCCGAGTCTCGGAATCCGAGAAGATAAGGTTTTTGTACAATTTAATATTGTTCTGCACTATCTGGCGCTTCAATTTTAAAAACTTTTATTTATTATATTAGGTTTATCCTTTCAGAATTTATTGCATAACTTCTTTATAAGAAAAAAATATGTTTCCAGACAATGACAGTGCAAATGATTTTTGGTGGGTAGAAATCAGTCTGCTTTCCTTAGAAATGAGTATCTCAGTTGGGTTGAGTATATATTTCCAAGAAAATAGGCCGTCCTTATATTGACAATAGGGACCCCAAGGCCAGCTCACACGATGAAGTACTTACTCTACGCATATACCACTTTACCCGCAGGCTCTTGTTGACTCCCAGTAGGTTTTGAATGAAGTAGACCCTTTTGCATTATAATGACCTTTTTCATATACATACATATTGGCTAGGTTTTCTACCTGGTTTCGAGACAATATTGACCAACTATATACCTGATTTTAAAAGATTCCTCGAGTTTTGTGAAATGGTCTCACTAACAATGTAAACTACGATATATAAAATAGAATTCCTGGAAATCACTTTATATTTACTCTTGTAAAATTTTGTTCATATTATAAAATCTACGATTCTTACTGTTTATTACCCTAGTAGCTTCGTGACCTCATGTGAAGGCGTTCATTCGTTTGGTGATATCCTCTTCTTGTCCATTATTTATAGTTGTCGTCATCCCATGCTGGGTTCGATTTTGAGTGCTGCTTTGTGACCTTCTTTGGTATCTGGTACTACCTGTGTTGTGAGGTTGTTGGAAGGTTTTTAATTACCTTACTCATGTAGACCTGAAACCGTTTGCCTCACGCAAAACTCTTGTACAACCAGAGGTGTCAGAGTTTCTACAAAGTTGTTTCCAAACTCAAGTCTCATTGAGGTCAGCGCTTGGTGTACTTTCCTCTCCCACTTATTTTTTACATGCCATCTACATCGGTAAAGCCACTCTCTACTCAGAGTATTAATCTGTGCCGCCCAAGAAAACATAATCATTGTAAAGAAAAGTGTCATGAAGTAAACCCATAAAAACAATGACGCTTTGAATTGATCATTCGAACGAAACAATTCTATGGCAACGTAACATATCGCAATTTGCATGGCAGGACTACCAAGAGCACAAACCAAAAATAATCTCGACCTTGTACAGTTATTGAGACATTTTTCAAAAATGCGCAAATTATCATATTCCCCGATCCTTGCAAGTTTCTTGTCATACCGTTTTACAAAGGCTTTGCAATCAATCCACAGAAAGGCGACACCCTTGAGCATTATTTCAATAAAATAATGAGTTGTAGCAATTATCATGTTTAGAAACAGGAAGAATTCTATTGGTGCAGAGAGCATGCGCAGAATCCATGTGTAATTTCTGCAAAGGAAAATCCCATCGCGGCAAAGGAGCGAATTCAAAAGGAGAGGTTGACATGGAGCAACAATTGCTAAGAGCCCAATCAACGTCGCGAGAAGGAGTCCTGTCATTCCAAACGCATTCATTAAGAGTCTTATGAGGAGATATATCGTGCGATCAAGGGTCCCAGCTGGAAAGGAGATTTAAATTGCAGAATAATGATACAAACTACCATTAGAAATTTACTTACCGGTTTTAGAGTTGCTGGAAAGCATCAAGAAATTCATTAATTGCACGGCACCTTGGTCGCCAGGGAAATCAAATCGTAAAACGAATGACAGCTTGTACACCAAATGCAGCCAAAGCGGCTTCAGACCGCTGGACGATACTGGAGGGGTATAGTTTTGTAGAATACAGACGACATAACGTTGCCAAGAGGTGGACAATTAGCATCGCAATGACCGGCCTTTGTTGTCGTGGTGATTTTACGACAATCCTTCCATTGATGGCATCCCATTTAACTGGGAGACACTTGAAGTAATTTCCGTACCGGAGATTTCGCTTTAAAATTTTGATATCTTTATTTGCCATGATGGGTAGAATTAAGTTTGCTAGAGTATTGGACTTTACACAACACTAGGTGTTTGCATACTGTGCGATCCTACTTCGGCTTTCATAAACTTAATTATCTAGCAGTCGAAATCATTGTAAATTTATTAAAGTTTTAACATTTAATTATCTTGTGTTCTTTACTCCAAGTAATATTTGCATAATTAGCGTATGTATGCATGTATGTGGCTAAATAACTGAATAATTAAGCATATTTTACTTATATCGTGCATACCACAACGAAAGATAATTTAAGCTATATATTAAAGTCATATATTTTCCTTAATCATTTGGCACGTCCTTTTTCAGTCACTTCAAAATTACGAAAGTAGTAGTTACGGGGTTTACGTGTCTGGGGTTCCACCAAATCGCATAGTAAGACCTACGAGGTAACACATAAATTAGAAACTTAAATAAGTATTATTGTGGTGCTTCAAAACTACTTAATTAACTTAGAAATTATATCCTCTATCGCTGTTCAATGAAAAGGGTTTATTTGTAATTATTTCAATCAAACCTTCAATGATCGATATTATTTTGACATTGGAAAGGCGTGGCCATATAAATAAATTAAATATATTTAGTTTTATTTATTTAATTTTAGTAGAGAACTGTGTTCACAACAAATCTTGAGAGTTGCATCATAATTTCGTACACTGGCCGGCAGGAAATTTTCACAGATTTCTTCAATTTATTTGAATTTATACTTCCGTATTTTATGGAAAATTTTATCGGTGGCAAAAGTTTATTGAATACCTTAGCTTAACGATACGATCCTCACCAAGATGTGTATATATAAGTAATTTCAATATTAACTAAAATAACCTCTCAGTACAGCTTTGCATAGCCCGAACCAAGGAAGTTGTCCGATTATATCACGTTTAGTTCAAAGATTGTCCAATTATACACAATAACATAAATACGACTAGTCGGCATCAAATTCAGATTAATACAACAAATTAAAAAAAATCAGATCGAATTAAAGAAATTTCAACCGAATTTCAACTCTATAGGGGGATTATGAAACATCAGTATGGGTGACCCAGTAGGGTATATCAACGTGAATTTTTTTAAAATTTATTTTATATTCTTCCATTGAAAGCCATCAGAAGCCTCTGTGCCAAATTTCAGCCAGTTAGGACAATATTTGAAAATCGGTGGGGATCACCCCATAGGGTACCTCCGGGTAACATTTTTTTCAAATTTCACTTCATATTCTTTCATTTGAAGCCATCAGGGACCTATATGCCAAATTTCAAGCTTATAGGTACAAAGGCCATTACTGGCATCTAATGAAAGAATATGAACTAAAATTTCGAAAATTTTCCCCTAAAGTAACCCTGACCTCCACGGGTTTTTAAATATTATCCTATAAGCTTGAAATTTGGCATTAAGTGCCCTAATGGCTTCAAATTATAGAATATGAAAGTGAAATTGGAAAAAATTCACCCAGAGGTACCCTATTGGGTGACCCCCACCGATTTTCAAACATTGTCCTAGAAGGCTGAAATTTGCCACAGAGGCTTACAATGACTTCTAATGAAGGAATATAAAGAGAAATTAGAAAATTTTTCACATTGATATACCCTGTTGAGTCACCCATACTGATTTTGCATAACCCTCCAATTGAGTTAAAATTCGGTTTGAAAATTTATAGGGTTGCCTAACACTGATTTTTAATATTTGTTGTATTGATTTGAAATTGATGCTTGCTTGTAGGCTATGTAAAGTTGTACTGAGATGTTTTGGATGATTGCAACCCCAATGATATGCTTTAAAATTTTGTTGGGTAATTAATTAGATTATACCGCTTGCCAATTATGCCACTTGGTAGTGGCATAAAATCGGACAACTTGGCATAACCGGATCGTGCCAAATATAATCCGAACCTGACTCGGGCTAAATTAGGCTGCACTGGAGTTTTTTTGCCTGCTGAAGTGATTTTGTGGAAATATACCATATTGCCATATAAATTATTTGGTTGGGTCGAAAATGAATTTTGGTTGTGTAAATTTTGGTCAAATTTTGGCAAAAAAAGTATTTTCAAAAAAATTATTTTTGGTTGGGCTCATTTGATTTATGGCTGGGTGGTATAACCTTTATCCATTATACTTAATACGGAATTCATAATTTAAAGTAACAGTGAAAACTTCTGACATAACTCACTAAGGAGCGTACTTAAAAAGTCGGATAGAAACAAAAAAATCTGAAATGCCTACCTTTAAATATTTCTCATAAATTTGATAAATTAAAGTCGAACCAAAGTTAATTCAGGCAACAAGAATACCTGAAACCGTTTGCCTCACACAAAATTCTTGCACTACCAAAGGTGTCAACTTTTCTTCAAAATTATTTCCAAATTCTAGTCTCAGCGGTACCAGAGACTTCTGTACTTTCCTCTCCAATTTTGTTTTAACACTCCGTCTGCATCTATCCAGCCATTCCCTGCTTAGATTATTTATCTGCGCCGCACCAGAAAACATAATCATGCTGAAGAAAAGTACTACGAAGTAGCACCATAAGCATAGTGACGCCTTAAATTGGTCATTTTCAGTGGACCGAAAAAATTTTATCGCAATGTAACATATCACAATTTGTACCGCAGGAGTAGCTAATGCGCATGTCAAAAATATTCTGGATCTTGTACAGGAGTTGAGGCATTTCTCAAAAATGAGCAAATTTTGATATTCCCCAATCTTAACAAGTTTCTTATCATTTCGCCTTACAAAATCTTTGCAATCAATCCACAAAGAGGCCAAACCTTTAAGCATTACTTCCATCACGTAATAATTAGTAGTTAGTGCAATGTTTAGGAAAAATACGAATTCAACCATTGCAAGAAGCATGCGCACAATCCAAGAATAATTGGTGCCGACATGAAAAATTTCATCACGGCAAACGATCGAAGTCAAGAGAACTGGTTGACATGGCGCAAAAATAGTTAAAACTCCCAACATCGTCCCGAGAAGGGTTGACGTCGCTGCAACCGCATAGATTAAAAATCTAATGAATAGATATACTTTTGCATATTCGGGGCCGCCTGGAAAAGAAATTCAAATTTTTCAATGCTTAGCTTTAAATTAATGTAAACTAACATCAAAAATCAACTTACTGGTCTCTGAATTACTTGAAACAATCAGAAAGTTAAGCAGCTCGACGACCCTATGATCTATTGGGATGTCAAATCGAATAAAAAACGTACTCGCGTAAACCATTGCCCCAAATATAGCTTCGGAACGGTGCATAAGTTTAGTTCTGTGCAACGTGATGG